TGAGTGACTTTGGGGTTGACTTCCTTCTGATTCTCTGCAGGATAAATTGCTTGTGTCATCTAACTTTCTTGGCAATAAATCTTGTTTTCTGTAACTAGGGAAAGTGCTTTGCTGCTTTTGCTAGGCTGTATAACTTTTAACAGTCATACATTTCATCCAGATAAATACCCAGAACAGGAGCTGAGCTGAAGATCCCAAAACAAACATGTTACATGTGTACATGTGTTAATAGTTCGTTATTTCAATTATTTCCACTCCCACTGTGCATATGGCCCTGCAAGAGTGGAGGGAGGGTGCAGAAAGGAATTCAAAACTAGAAGGGAACTGCTGTTTGCCTGGGTTAGTGAGCTTTGCTTTCAGCCTGATATGGATCACGGAATCATTAAGGTTGGAAAAGACTTCTAAGACCATTGAGTCCAACCATTAGCCCAGTACTGTGAGTTCTGCCACTAAATCCTCTCCCCAAGCACATCTACACATTTAAAAATACTTCCAGGGATGGTAACTCAAGCATTTTCCTGGGCAGCCTGTTCCAGTGCTTGACCACCCGTTCAATATCCAATCCAAACTTGCCCTGGGGCAACTTGAGGCTAACTCTTGTTTGTTGCTTGGGAGAAGAGGCCAACCCCCATCTGGCCACAGCCTCCCTTCAGGCAGTTGTAGAGAATGATGAGGTCTCCCCTGAGCCTCCTTTTTTCCGGGCTAAACACTCCCAGCCCTCTCAGCTGCTCCTCACAGGACTTTGCTCCAGACCCTTCACCAGCTCCATTGCTTTATGGAGCTTCCAGTCTCCTCATGTGTGGCAGCTGCTGCTTCAATGGTTGTGGTGATGCTGGACAGCAGTGGCATCCTTGCTAAACTAGTAATAGGAAAGATCTTACCTCAGCAGATGTCTTTCCTTTTTACATCAGCCTGACTGACAGGTGCTATGGACCTTCCCCTTGACTCTCCTAAGCTGGAAAAAACCCTGTGTCTCTTGAAGGATGCCTTCGTGGAAAGGTCATCAGCATCAATCCTACTTCAGCTAATTCCTGATGAAGTGCTTATGTGAACTTAATGCCCTCCTGCAAACCCAGTCAGGGAAGTGTCCTGTCTGCAATAAAACTTTTTAAGAACAATTTACTATCATCTATTTGGCAGAAGAAATATCTTTAGGACAAATAAAGTTTCTAGATTCTTCTGTGGGCTGCCAGGGGTAGGCGCTATTCTAGCAGTGAAAGAAAACTTTACAATTAGGCTTATTCTCTAGAATTCAGTTTTAATGTTTAAAACAAAATGTAAAATGTGAATGCAAAGAAAACCTTTTGAATATGAGTCTTCTCTATTGGGTAAAATGTTATTTGCATGAGTCCTCAGGTGGCCTGAAGAAGTACTTTTGTAGTTCAGCATCTGCTTCTTCTATAGTTTCTTCTGTCTTTTATGACAGGCACAAAAGTCCTGAAGAATGCAAATGCATTGTTGATGAACAAATGTCAAGCACAGTACAGAAAACATGGAAGCTTGATTGAAAGCCACATGATGTTTGAATAGGATTGTGGAAAGCCCAGAATCCTTAAAATGAAAGAATTGCACGTGCTTCTTGTGGCAGTATTGTCTAGCAAAAGCTGGCTGCCAAATGGCTTTGTTGAGGCTTAATTCTAATCAACTGGGAGTATAACAAGTGTTAAAAGTGCAGGAGTTAAATATATTTTCATATGAAAGGAATAGATCAGTGTTTCATTTGCTTTTTTTTTTTCTGAGAGAAGCATGTGGGTTCTGGAGAAAGAAATGTGTTTGCTATACATGTGGGATTTTTTCAGATGTTTTGCTCAAGACTATATGAAGACACTACTAGTTGTAAAAATGAAGAGAATTAATACTCTCTGTGTTCTTTGCTCTTGAAGACTTGGAAATATTTATGATGTTTTGGCTGACAGTGAAAATTTTAGAAGAATACAGAGTGTGTTTCAGGGAAGATACCTTGAATGCAGGCACCTTCTGTAGTAATATTCCACTATTGTGACACAGCAATATTGAAGGGGTTTTTTATTTGGATAATTAAAGTGTTGAATTCAGTAGATATGCATGATTCAAATAGCTTAGAGCTTAGAAATTCTCAGTGTAACTGTAAAAATAAAACCAGTTATTAAGTACACATAAAGCAAAGGGAAAACAAATTCAATTACATGGTATTCCTCAAGTTTGATTTATTTTTTAATCAGTTCTTTTAGCTGTCAAATGAGCAGATACTTAATTTGATTATATACAGAGTGGATAAAGTATGATGTTCATGACAGACAAGTGAGAAGGACCAACAACTTTTAAAGAGCCAACTTGCAGAGAAAAAGAATAAACCTGTGAATTGGAAAAAAGAAGAGATAAAACTGAGTTGGACGATTAACTGAGTGAAGAGTCATGCTGCGTGTGATTAAATAAGAAATCAGACCACTGCAGTTGAATGCATAATCATTCTAGGTGTTTGTTAAATGATTCAAAGGTAGATTCAAAAGTAGCCTTAAGCATTTGCATATTGAATATACTGACTGGTGCTTGTGAAAGCCAGTAACTGCTTTTCTCTTTGAAGTTAAAATATCTCCAATGAGAAAAGATAACTGGAGCTGCTTACAAATAGGTGGTTTGAGAGAGGATTTCGAAAATTAATCAGGTCTTAAAACAAGAAAAACAGAAGCTTGGATGTTAGTAGATTTACAAAAGTTAAAATACTTTCTGTTGGCTTAATTTTTTTCTGTTTCAATTATTTTATCATTGGAAATGCCTTTCTTGAAGCATGAGAAGATCTTCTAGGTTGCTTTTGCTTTAGAATTGTAAAATCTGTGACCCCAGGTTCTTTTCTGTCAGACTACACTTTTAATACTTGGTCAAACTGCCATATTTTAGGAAAAGGAAAGGAAAAAGAACCATTCCCAAGACCACAAAACTTATTATGTGATAATATAATGTGCTGTAATCCACACAGAAAAATTATTACTCATATTCTAGCACAGTTACTTCCCAGGTATTTGGGAAATCCCTTTATCTATATCCATTGCTGAAAATTTCTATTTCAAGAATTTCTAACTGTGATAATTAGTCCAGATTATTTGTATGTAGAATGACAGATATTAAAGAACAGAATAAAAAACCTGACAGACTTGCAGTTCAGCAGCAGTGCTGTTGTATGCCTGTCAGCATAGGATTCGTGGGGAAAGAAGGAATGTGTAACTTAACTCAGGTGCATGTTCATGTTTTTAGGAATGATATTTTTGTTGGAAGTGCTGTTTTTTTTTGTGTTTAACTGCTTTAACCTGGTTCTCTGCACTTATGCACAGTGTTGATTTTTCTAAACCAGCAAGTTTGAGGGTGATACAGCCCTTGTGAGAAGCAAGCAAGGCACATTTCAGAATAGGCAGCTTAGAACACTACAGCTATGTCAATCAAAATGCTGTTGTTTTAGCTGTGGGACTGTGTTATTGCTTTGCTCTCTATGGTCTATCAGTATAAAGAAGTATTCCTGAAATCTTGATTGTGAAGATGATGTAACTTCTGGTGTTTGTGGCTGACCAGCATCACTTCACTGGTCAGGACATTGGCTGCTCGAAAAGAAATACAATCTCCATCTTCTTGTTCTCCATCTTGGCTGTTCTTGGCCACAGATTGTGTCCCCTCAGTTTCCTCTGCTAATTTTCTATGTTCTTGTCCTTTCTCTCATGCTTATATTATACAGTGGAAAATGAAAATGGAATGTGTTTTTAGATTGGACGGTTTGCTCTCAGCTCTTTTAGGCTTGCACATTTGTTTTGAGGACCTCTGTGTATGCACTTCTTAAATTGCAGCTCTTCAAATGAAAAATACACTGCTAACGTGTACATTGCCTACTAAAATTTAAGATTAGATTTTAATACTGTGCTGTCATCATTGTTAAAAGATGTGGGCTGTTCTTACTTGAAGTAGACCTAGTTGTTGCTAAAGACTTGAGACATATAATTTAAAAAATGAAGATGCTACAAATTCATTAAATAATCTGCATCTCTTAGTGTCATTAGGAATGTGGTTTTCTGTAAGAATGCTCATGCAGTTCATAATGATGAACTCCATTCGTCATGATTTCAATTAGTTTCTCTGGAAGAAGCAGGAGTGGTAGAAACTGAAGTACAGTGGAGAGATTCTCAGTACTGACTGTCAACATGGAAAGAGACTTCTACTGCAGCTATTTCTAGTAGCCTTAACCTATTTTATTTTCCTGTCCAAACATTATTTGAACTCACTTTTCCAAAAAGAGTCTAAGCATATGAAAAGGATTTTGTATTATCAAGGAGCAACATCTGAATCTACAGTAGAATGAGCTGTGCCTGGATGACAAAGTCTTCCTCATCCAGTTCCTCTACAGGTTGAAGAGAGGGGAAGAGAAACTTTTTGCCCCTTCTTTTGGGAATTTATTCTGATGCCAGGAAGAGATGTGGAAGGGGCAGTGCTTAGCAGCAGCAGATGATGATGACTGGCAAATCTGATGTAGGTTTGCCATCTACAAAGGTCTCTTACCTGATGCAGAAACGAAAATTTCTGTCTTGAAAGGCTTGAGAAGATGGGCTAGTATTGGGAAAGGATGCCTTTATTTATATAGACGGAAAGATGCTACAGCTCTCTTCAGCAAGAACTAAAGAACTGTCATTCTTCTTCAATGCATTCAATGGAATACAATGCAGTGTATTTACTGTAGCTTGGCTTCCTTTAATCACTTAGCTATATTTAATTTGAATTGGGCTGTTACCAAGTGAATAGACAGATGCTTTTAATAAAGTCAAGTAAATGAAATTGAGCATTCTAATAATGTATATGTTTGCAGGTGTAAATTAGAATAGTTTCATGGAATTATTTTTTAAATAATTGAATTGTGTCTTCCTTCCATAGTTTGGAGCATTTTTGCCTCTTTGATGTTCTTTGTAGTGCAAATTTGGTACTGTTGTGAGTAATTTAAATCAAGTGTTTTAAACTGTGTTATCTTTTTTTTATTATTATTCCAGCCCTGATGATATTGGTACCTGTTGGTATATCCTGCTGTCTGGTTCAGTCTTCATTAAAGAATCCATGTTTCTTCCAAGGAGCAGGTATGTCGGCTATGAATGTACTGCATTGTATATTTTAAACATAAATCATGAGATGTAGAGAATTTTTAGAACTAAAAGGCAATGTTTCTATTTAATGAATCACAGAAGAACAAATCTAAACACACATCTCCTGTCTTTAGTAACTCTGGTAACTGTTTCATGCCCATAGCTAGAATTGAAAATCCATCTTTGTGGACAGTGTATAACTGTCCAAAGTGTCATGCAGATGTTGTTGATTTAAAAAATAAAACCACTAAAAACCTGACAAATGGAGTGAAGTGCCGAGTAGTCTCTTCCAATGAATAATCATACTTCAAATTATAGAATTTGGATGTAGATGTTTTCCTTTACTGACTGTGCACAAGTCTTTGGTGTATGTTTTGGTATATTTTTAGATCATGTTACTGCAGGTTTTGCTGCTTCTGTATAATGTCATGCAAATGGATTTTCAATGAAGAGCAGTTTCTTAGATGGAAAAAAAAAAGTTTGGGTGTGAGGTACTCAACATTTATATTGCTCCAGTAAAAAAAAAAAAAAAAGAAAATTACTTATTTTGAGCTATGGTAAAAAATGCAAGTGATTGCAAGGATTTTAGACTAAAGTCTAAAGCTTGATAATTTTAATGGAAGCAGAGCAGAATTATTTAAAAGTAATGGTTATGTGCATATTCATTCAGACTACCATAAAAGGCTGCTTTGAAGCATACAGCACGTAATAAAATTTGTAAAAGGCATAATGAAAGAATGACCCATCTGTGTATAGTATCATGATAAGGAAAGAACTAGAAATTTTTTTACAATTTTAAAAGGTGGGAAACCACTTCATGGCTAGTGTTCGTTGGCATATGAGACATTAGGTCTTCAAATCTGCCTTCCAGTGGGAGAGCAGTGCAAGTCTTGGGACTTCCATTGGATGACGGTGGCATGTTCTTGGTGAAACCAAGTGTCTTGTGTCTGTCAGGCACTGCTGATAAAAAGGCATATTTGATGTGCCATCGAATAGTTAATGCTGAAGGTGCAAAACTGATTATTGGAAAAAGCAGCACAACAAGGGATTATAGAAGCTCTTCTGGCAGAGCAGAAATTGTCCCATATGTCATCCATGAGCAGGCAGTGCTAGGACATAAGCTGGCAGAAAGTGCTACCTTTAGATACCAGGAGAAGAGATATATAATATCTGAATTAATGAAGGGTGGCTGTGTATAGTCCATGGCAAGAATCTTCTGTTCCTCTGAAATACAGCAATGCTTGTGCCTCACTCACTGGGGCACTTGAAGAGAGGTGAGGTTTAGTAAGACAAACAGTGAGCTTGAGACTCTTCCTGGTAGAAAGAACAGAAAATTACAGATCCTGTGGCAGTAAGCATTAAGTGCTGTTCATATGAAGAAATGTGTAAAATGACATCTGGACAGTGTCTAATATCTTAGTGAAATACAAGGCATGGAATCTGTGATACAAATAGGCTTTAAAGTTGTGGATGAAGTCAAGTAGCTCTCAAAGCTAGTGTGTTGGCAAGCAAAGGCAAGAGAGACAATTTGTTAATTGAAAAAGATAACTTAAGTCCATGAAAGCAAAATAAAAAACTTTTAGTTATATGAGATAGAAAGCATTTTGGGAGAGTAAAACCAAAGTGTTTCTAGTGATGGGCTTTGTGCTGAGAAGCTGTAGTCATTGAATGGTAGGTGAGTGTAGTAAATTAAAATTTACTACAAGGTTAATCGGGGTTTTTTCTTTCTAAATGAGTAAGTTACAATTGGGCTTTGGGCTCATCCATGAATAAGGAGCTTGGCAAAAGTGAGAGGGCACTCAGGTGAAATTTCTGATCTGGAATATTGGTGGCTAATAAATGATTTATTGATTAATTTACTTAGTGAAAAAATGGCCTGAGAAGAAAATTAAGTTTTCCAGCTTTACTTGTGCTGCCAGTGAAGTGCTGGGAGAGAAATAGCAAACTGCTCAGTTATACAAGCTAGGCAGAAGAGAATGATTGGCAGAAATGCTAAAGTAAGATTTTAGGGTGCTCAGAAAAAAGGGAGTGAGACCTACTGAAAAGGCTGCTGTCCAGAAAGAACTGATAAGGTGGCATTCTGGAATCTAAACAGTAGTGTCAAAAGTGGACAGAAGACCGTTACTGGACAGGTGTTTGCTGAAAATGACTGTTTGCATATACAGGCAGTAAAACTTCAAGGGCCTTTTTGAGCATTGCATAATTCGTGCATCTTGATGTCCTATTACTGCTGAAATGAACTGGCTGTGGTTTGGCAAAAGGTGCATATCCTCATGCATCACTGACATCAAGTGATAGGAAGAGAACCTAAACATTGCAAAGTAAGATCATCTAATTTTGATTTTGTTTGTCATTTGAGTAAACTAAATTTGCAATAGTCAATTAATATTTACACTATTTTAATGTGGGCTTTTTTTCAGGTTAATCCATTTTATCTTTGCCCATCTAAAAAGCCACTAGGATATTATTTTGCAACATGTGTAGGTTGTGATTAAGAGAGCAGGATGGAGCCAAGAATTCTGTGTAGGAGCAATCAAAGATGTAAAAAACAAGAAGTATGTTCCTTTCTCCAAATCCATTTGACTCAGAAAATTCTCATTTCCCTAACTTTCTTTTCCCAGAGCCAAATGTAATTCACCCCTAGGCATCTTACCATTCAAAACTCCTCATTTTTTCCCCCACTTTAAAGCTGTCCTCTCTTTTTTTGTCAGCCTGCCCCATGCACCTGCAGTAAATCCCTTTGGACAGGTTCTCTGGGCTGCTGATCCTTGCTCAGACTGAGGGCTTCTCCATGCCTGTCCTCCTGACCTCCTCTGGCTCACCTTCATTAAATAATGGCTGGGCAGTAGCTGACCAAATTTAAAATAAGACATATGTTGTCATCCCAACAATTCCACCTCCACCCCAACCCCTGAATTTCAAGAGCATTTGGTTTTTTTTTGGATTTCACTCCTTCCAAATGAATGTCTTTGCATGCCAGAGCAAAAGTAATATCTCAGAGTAATTTAGACAGGCATAGTGGACAAATCTGCCTACAACTTTGCAGATTTGTTCTCAGTCCTGTGCAGAATTTGATGTTACTCATAACTTCGTGGCAGTTGGCATATGAGTATGTAGAGAACAGGAGAGAGAGCTGCCACTAGATTTGACCTGACACTTGCAAGTACCTTAGTGCATTTGACTGCCTATGCTCAGGATATTATTTGCATTTGGGTCCTCTATTAGCTGATTTGCTTGCATTCGTTTTAGATATAGCATCCTCAGACTGATTGGCGAGTAACACTGGAAATGCTCTTTTGTTGTATATGTCATGTCAGGTAAACTTACTGCATTTCTTTCTTCCAAATTGTTGTGTCCATGGCTTTCATTTCTATTGTTAAGATACCATTTAAAATTTTTTTATTAGAGAGACTAGGTTTGGCAGACAGTTAAAATATAGTTGGAGAAGGGTGTTTTAAAAAATACCCCCTTCCCCCACACTGAAGATGTCTAAAAGCACAGGAAATGACCACCCCCTGCTTTTGCACTGCTTTGCATTAGAAACAGCACACCCTAATTTAGTGCTCCTGCTCAGTGAGAGTCTCCCAAACCACACACCTCCCACTCCCCTCCCCTCTCTGATGGGAGATGCAAAGGCAGAAATCATGAGTTGGGATAAGAACAATTTACTGGAAGCAGCAATGAGATAAAAAAATGGACAGTAACAGCAGCAATACTACTAAAACCCGCTACTAAAAAACAGTACAGCAGCCCAAAATGAACCAGCCTTGTAGGGTGTGAGACATTGGGCAAATATCTCATACCCTACATACTGTTGAAATAGTTCGAAATGAGTATCAAAGCTGCCAGTTTTGGACAAAGTTTTATAATGCACTGGATGACTTGTAAAATGACTTGTAACTAGCTACTGGGCAAGTCTTTAATTCCAAATATAAAAAAATAAGTTGTTCAAGATGGAATACTGGAATACATGAAGTCCTAAATTGAGTATTTAACTTTGGAAATTTTAACATCTAAACTGTCTCTTTTTTTTTTTTTTTTTTTTTTGAAAATAGCATGAGTTTAATTTTATTTCCCTGACGTAATACCGTTTAGCTTGTATTTGTTCAGATTCCAAGCCTTCAGCTAGCAAATAGTGTTCATAAGATAAGGCTAGATTTTATTGTCTTTAATTTATTATTTTGGGAAAATATACAATCCATGATTTTAAAGAATAGTGTTCTGAACAATTAAAGCTGCCATTTATTTGGTGACATGAGGTAAAGCTTTATCTTGTTCTCCAGTTTAATTTCTGTGAATTACAATGGTGAAATTTGACAGTTTAATACGAGGAAGATCATCCCTCTTCCCTTCTACTCCTTTCCCCCATTTTTCCTATTAATATCTACAAACTTCTTCATTTACTTTAAATATCAGACATATATTATGTCAAACTAAACATTCCTTAATTCTTTCCTTTGACCGTGACCATCAAACTAGCACAAATTAACACTCAGTCCCCTCATCATTTCCCGGGAGCATCTGTACTCTGAAGCAGTTCACATACTAGAATGAGGTTTGTGTATGAACTCCAGAAAATAAATGAGCAGAAAATGCAATTCCCTGAGGGCTGTCCTGGCTCTCCTGTGTTTTCACTGACAGCAACTATGTGACAGTCCCTCAAAATGTCTTTTGGAATGGCTTTCAGCTTGGCCTGCTGCATGCTCTCACCACGTTTGGTCATTTGCTTGGAGTTCCTGTGTGGTTCTTGTACCAGAACTTTGCTTCTAGTGAGGACTCCAATGGGTTCTTTCGTGTTCCTTAAATGGGAGCTGCAATACCAAAAGGTTTCCTGGATCTCCCACAGCTTGTGCCTGCTCTTGGCCTCCACGACCAGAGGATGCCCTTAGCAGCAGCAAAATACAGAATTGCTGGGCAGTTTTTCTCAGTCTGTTGGCTCTGGTACTTGGGGATTTCTGCTTTTCTCCTAGAATGCTTCCCAGCCCTTCCGGGTA